TGGAACTTTCTTGAGTTCGTCTTACGGAGTCGTCCTTATAACAACTTCATATTCGTTGCGCTCCTTCGGTCCTTTCCGCCACCCTACTGTGAAATCTCATCACTGGAAGAAAAATCTTTAGTTGACCTGACAGAAAAACATTTTAGTTTCATAATTAAGAAATTTAGATGATAAAAGATCATACCTAACATCTTTTTGAAAATTTTTATTATCTAATAATGAATAGACTTCCAATTTTCTTTGTTTTTTGGAATCAACTAATTGGTCTTTTTCATATGAATGTCGTTTGCTTAAAATTTCCTTGTTAACTATATGACATTGATGAACTCTATATCCCAGTATGAAGACCCTTTTCTTTCTCCAGAAGACTGGTTATCAAAATCGTGAGCATCAGCAGCCCTAGGGCTGGCGCGCCTCTCTCTGCGCAAAAGCCTTTCTCCGTTCTCGGTTCAGAGGCTGAGGTATCATACCACCTTGAAAATGAAACTGCCCGCCCAACAAGCAAGGGATTGAGCAACTCGCGCACTCAGGGAGTTACTTGTTCAGTCGAGCTGCTTCGCTCCATCCCCTCCAAAAAGTCTTCAATCCTCGTACTATGGTCGAGTCAATTGCATCGAACCTTTTTTTCGCATTGGTCGCCGCTTAGAGAATGTTCCGTATGAGGCAATTCGGATCATTTGTTTCCATTGTATTGTGTAGTCTTTGTGCATAGGGAGGCGAAAAAAGGCTCAGAAAACTCCTCCTTCCAGTCCCCAACATTTTCTCTTCCCCGTATTTTCTTACAATTTTTTGGCTAATAGAGGGATCAAGTGGTATAAGTGTATTTGTTGGTATCTTGGAGGATTAAAAGCATGATTCTTGTTTTTCAATTGGCTGTTTTTGCATTAATTGCTACTTTAGCAATCTTATTGATTAGCGTACCCGTCGTATAAGAAAGGGAGGTTATTCAATGCGAGATCTAAAAACATATCTTTCCGTGGCCCCAGTACTAAGTACGCTATGGTTCTGGGCTTTAGCAGGTCTATTGATAGAGATTAATCGTTTTTTTCCGAATGCGTTGACATTCCCCTTTTTTTCATTCTAATTATTGACTCCCCGAAGCATTTCGTCGATTACTACGCCCTTCCTCGTCTCTGGGTGCCTAGGTATCCACCGTAAGCCTTTCATCCTTTGAACCTCGCCCTTATTGCCCTTACTTATACTTAACTTATAAGGCTATGCCATCCTAAGGTGCTGCTAAATGGATGGATCTTATCAACGTCCATGAATGCTAAATCATAGATTGAACCGCCGAATCGGAAAAATTGGGTGCTATCATATAGCTTTGTATCGGCTAAGTCCATCAGTTGAAATAACACGGCGTGTGTATCTAGGGAATAGTCGCTGCAAGGCGAATTCTCTCTAGATACATCTATTCAATAAAATTCGAAATTTCTTTCGAATATACGAATTGTGCTACATATTCAAAAATTTCCACATACTTCCTTTTGCTTTTAGCGTGGTAGACTCAGAGAACAATGCATCATATACATGGTTTTTCACCAAATTACGAGAAACGCTCGAATGACGAGAATCTTTGTGTATCGTATCAAATGGTCATGAAAGTATTAAACATGCAGTTGCAAAGGTAATGTTGAATTTAAATTGTATCTCAAATATTTTCGATTTGTTATTTTGGTTTTGTCTTATGTGTTTTATTTTTAACTATATAAACATTTTATGAACTATAAATAAACTGGATATAAAGTACATGCCTGGAGTTTTAATTAAGTATCAATCTGCATTATACACAGTACGAATATGTTACATATACCTGATTAGTTAAATGTAAGTATCTAAAACAATTGAAGCAAAATTTATCCACAAACAAGAAATTTATGTAATCTTCGGGTTGGCAGGCTCTTGTCTTTTCCTTTGAAACTTTGTATCATATTTTG